CTTCACTGTGTGTTACTGAGGGTGCTTCCCACACCTCCGACCCCTTATGCTGCTCCTCTGTCTTCCCCATGGATTTTCTGTCCACTCCCATTGGTTCTTCTCAGCTCACAAGCCACTTTCTCCAGGAATCTTTCCCCAAACTTTCTCCCCAACAACAGTGCGTTTGCTGCCCTCCCACGTGCTCCCTAACACCCGGTCCTCTCCCGACTCAGTGTGTACCAGCTGGGTTATATTTCATTGTGATAAGATATGCGTAACATAAAATTTCCCATTTTCACTGTTTTTAGGTGTACAGTTCAGTGGCAGTAAGTACATGCACACTGTTGTACAATTGTTGTTGCCATCCATCTCCAGAACCTTTTCATCTTTTGCAACTGTACCCATTAAGTCCTCATTTCCCCTCCCCACAGTCCCTGGCAACCAGCATTCCACTTCCTGTCTCTGTGAATGTGTCTATTCTAGGTTCCTCGTGTAAGTGGAGTCATGCAGTCTTTGTACTTTTGTGTCTGGCTTATTTCAGTTAGTGTAATGTCGTTAAGGTTCATCCACTTTGTATATAGCATGTGTCAGAATTCCCTTGTTTTTAAGGCTCAGTAATATTTCACTGTATGTATATATCACATTTTGTTTAGCCACTCATCCATTGATGGACAGTTGGGTCGTTGCCACCTTTCGGCTGTTGTGAATAATCCTGCTACGAACACTGGTGTACAAATATCTGCTCAAGTCCCTGCCTTCAGTTCTTTTGGCCAAATGCCCAGAAGTGTAAATGCTGGATAATATGGTAATTTTTTTTGAGGAACTGCCATACTGTTTTCCACAATGGCTGCACCCTTTCACATTCCTGCCGGCAATGTACAAGGGCTCCGCTTTCTTCACATCTTACCCAACACTTGTTTTCTGATTGATAGTTAATAATAACTATCCTGAAGGCTGTGAAGTGATGCCTCACTGTAGTTTTGATCGGACCGGGAGATATTGTGGTTGCTTCTTTGGTGATCTGAGTACCGCAGAAGACCGGGGCTTGGCAAGGTCAGCCCACCTGTGCTTGTCTCGGTCACCTCTATGTCTTCCACCCCGAACCGCCGCGGATGAATGAAATGTGGTCCAGGTGTCTGTTCAGATCTCAGCAGCCAGGCTTTCCCCGGGGAAGCAGGCATCACTCACACTGCCGAAGGGCCTGGGCTCCCTCAGTGGCTGAGCTGGGAGCAGGGCCAGTTCCTTGCACCGCTTTCCCAGTAGAGTCATTTGCCTTCAGTTGATCTTTAAACCACTCTTGCATCTGACACAGAAATGGAAGAGTTACGAGACCTGCCACCTCATAACCTACGAGACAACGTGTAGGAGGGAGGGCCGTCACACGCTTCGCCAGAGCAGACGGGCAGCTCTGTTAAGCACATTTGCAGGTGACAACAACCCATGGTTTTAGGGAACTTCAAACGTGTCCCACTTCCTCATACAAAATATACTCAGAATTTCTTTGCTTCTTCTGAAAAGAAATGCCATTTGACAACTTGGCAGCATCCCTGGTATTTACGGGCTAGCAATGCATCAACCCAGACACAGCTGGCGCAGGGAGTGAGCAGAGACGTGTGTGTGCCGAGCTGAGTGACCGCCCGGAGCGTTCAGCCAGTTGGCAGTCGGGTCGGGGCTTTTCTAGGCCAGGCAGCCCACTCTGCCCTTTTCCCGCACATGCACATTTGGTCTCGAGAAGAGCCGAGGGGTGTCGGTACTTGCCCATCACTTTTCTAAAGTCTAGTACAGCCCACGGCGTGTAAGTGCTCGTCCACCCAGGTGTCCTGCGTGGCTGCTGCTCTGAGGGCAGGGATTGAGCAGAGAACCTGACACTGCCTGCCCGGCCCTCCTAGAGTCCTCTGAAGTCTCTCAAAGTCAAGGTCACCGGCACAGGGAGTCACGGATTCAGAACTGGAACCCAGGCCCCATGTTCCTAGTTCAGCCCTTCCAGCCTCTGTTGGTCATGCTTGCCCATGGCCACCTGGGCCCCCTCATGGGGAATGGCATGAGTCTGCAGCACCACCCCTGCTTCTGGGTGTTGGACACAGGTCAGTGTTGGTGGGAGGACTCCTTCGTGGGGTGGGGAGTGGGCTACATCGCCCGCATGGTCTCTTTCTCAGCAGGAACATTTTACAGTTTGGGGCTTCCAGACTAAAGTGACCACCCTAAGACTCGGACCCTTGCAATGTCACTGAGCCACTCCAGCCTTCCTTCGGGAGGGCAGGCACAGCCATCAGACCTGCACTGCCTTCTGGAATCATAGCCTTCCAGCTCTTTATGACTCACGGGGAGTTCCCTGTCCTGCCACCTTATGGTCTCTGCCTCGAGGGAAACTGAGGCTCAGAGGGTTTAGAAACTTGCTTGAGTTTACATGGCTACCTAGGGTTAAAACCAATTTCTTGCTTTTTCTCTTTAAACGACTTTATTGAGATATGCTTGACATGTAAAAAGCTATGCATGTTAAATGCATACAATTCAGTGAGTTTGGGACGAACCATCACCACCATCAAGGCCATAGACATATCTGTCACCTCCCAAAGTTTCCTCCCACCCTCTTTTTTATTCTGTGCATGGGTGGGGGAGGGTGAAGGACACTTAACATGAGATCTGCCTTCTCAGCAAATTTTAAGTATACAGTGCAGTACTATACCATAGTACAGTAGATCCCCAGACCTTATTTCTCTCGCATACCTAAAACTTTGTACCCTCTGACCGTCACCTCCCCATCTCCCTTTCCCTCAGACCCTGGCAGCCACCATTCCACTTTCTGCTTCTATGAGTTTGATTATCTTAGAACCCACATATAAGTGGGATCACACAGTCGTCGTCTTTCTGTGTCTGGCTTATTTCACTAAAACCAACTCCTTGATTCCCTCTACTGTGTGTTTGTTTCATCTCGCTGTCTCGGATTTCATCAAAACCCCCGGCAGCCTGCCCCCTTCCAGGACACCTGTTGGGGAGGAAGTAGGTACAAGGGCCCAGCCACCTGCGGAGGTCAGAGAGCCTGTGGGCTTGAATGTGGCTGGGGAAAGGGCAGGCTCCCCGGGCCCAGCTCCTCATCTGTGAAACTTCACCACTGCAGATGTGACTTCACTTGGATTTTGAGTCAGCATGTGTGGGTTCACGTGCCGGCTCCGCCGTAGCCCGGCCGCCCAGGCAGACCAGTGACCCTGTGAGCAGGAGACAGTGCTCGGCACGGCCTGGCAGGGTCTGCCTGTGCGAGCCATCGATGTGTAAAGTCCTGGCGCTCGGACTGGGGTCTCTGCAGTAAGCCTGTAAGTTAGGGAAAGGCTCCGTACCCCACAGGGGAGGGGGCAGACAGGACAGTTTCATGTGTTCACTATAGAAAAATTAGGAAATACAGTCACACACACACACACACACACACACACTCACACACCATAGTCCCATCACCCAAAGGGAGCCTTAGTCTTCCTGAGTTTTTTCCTGCATATTCGATTAGTCCATATAAGTTTCCTAAATTAGGAATCATACTCTTCTCCAAACCACTAGTTATTTTTTTGAACCTACAAGATGATACTGCCATCTTTTCATGTTAATAAGGCTACATTTCTACCCAGATCCTAAGAGGCTTCCTCCTATTTCACCGCGAGCTTGGACCACTCTCTATTTGAATTCTTCACTGAAAGGTGGCACAGTAGGTGTGGGGTGAGAGGAGTGAGGGACAGAGGAGCTCGAACCCACGTCTAGGGGCTGGTCACGCTCCTGGGTGCTCCGTTCTCTCTACACAGCTGGTGTCGGGTTTGGATGACCTTGACCAGACAGATGTTTCGGCCCCCTTTGCTTTTTCTGGGGCAGGCCTTTCCGGTCGATGAGGGAGCCCCCTAGGCCAGAGGTTTCCCAGTGTGTCCTAGACAAACACCAGCATAGAGGACAGGCTACGGTGCGGCCAGGCCGGATGGAGCACGTGCATGTGGGGGAGGGGAAAGGCCCAGGAGGAGGGCCGACCCCTCCCCAGCCCCACATCCAGGGCAGCCCCGAGCTCAACAGACCCGAGCAGAGTCCAGTGTGCGGGGCAGGTCTCGTCCACAGCTCGGTTTCCCTCCGTGGGATTTTGAGGCCTGTTCAGGGCTACGCCCTCTCTGGGAGCACCACAAATGAGAACTAAATGAATCCCATTAGTGCTAAACGAAAAAACCCACAGAGTACGATCAGCAATGCCAGTGGTTTCCATTGGCCTGCACAGGGCAGGAAGAAAAAGTATCTCACGGAAAGGAGCCCTCAAGAACCTTCAAGATTTTGGAGAGCTGATCGAGCTGACGTGTGACGTGGGCCAAATTAAAAACAGCCTGGCCATGTCCCACAACCGCAGGCAGCACGGTGTCCACAGACCACACCGGGGTCTCGGATCCTCACAGAGGGTCTCCAAGCGCAGCAGCCTCAGCTCCCCATCTGCAATAGGAGGGGTTGAACTAAAGGGTCTCAGAGCCCCTTCCAGCTCCCCAAGTTCTGTGATTATTGGGAGGCACCCAGGTTTCCGAAGGATATGAAGTGCCTTTGGCAGCAGGCTCTCCAGTGTGATGCAGTGTTCATCCAGGAGGGAGGGCCCTGGTGACCCAGCCAGCACATCCAGGCCAGGGTAGTGCTGCCTTCTGTGAGGCAGAATGATTTCTGTCCTGCTAAAGAGAACCACAACCTGTGGTCCTGAAGGCTGACAAGCAAGGGTTTTTATCTGGGATCCCCCTTTTCCAGCTGGGTCGCCCTCTCCTCCAGGGATGGAGGCATTGATCCCTCCACGCTCAGCTCCCTGCCTGGGCCCAGAGAGAAGAAAGAATGGATACCCGTGAGAGGAAGAGTCCTTTCTCACCCAAGAAGGGTTGTGCCTGGAGCAGGGAGCCCACCCCTCTCACTGTTCTCCCATCTTTGTTTCTTCCAAAAGGCCTGGGAGAAAGGCCAGGTCCGGAGGCCAGCCGGTGGAGCCAGGAGCCTGGGGTGGTGGTGACCGGCATGCGCTCTCATTGCAGGGAATAGCAGCCTCTTCCAAGCCGAGCTCTGTCAGAAGCATTGGCAGGACCTGCCCCCCAGCAAGTGCCATAGCACCACCCAGGACACCCGGAAGGAGACCAGCAGCTTGTGGGGTCTCATGGTGGTCGCCCAGCTGCTGGCCGGCATTGGGACAGTGCCCATTCAGCCGTTTGGGATCTCCTACGTGGATGACTTCGCAGAGCCCAACAACTCGCCCCTGTACATCTGTGAGTCACAGGCTTGAAAGGGCTGCAGGGAGGGGCCGGGTCCTGATATGACATTCATTTAGGCCCTGAAGGGCTGAATCGAAGTATTTAACCCTCTTTGCCTCGCAACACAGCAAATGAGTGCAGAGGTTGGGGATCAGACAGGCCTGGTTTGAATGGCAGTTCAGTGACCTACCAGCTGTGGGATCTGGGCAAGTGGCTGAGCCCCAGGCCCCAGGTTCCTTACCTGCAAATGGGGCTGACAGTATCTGTATGCTGGGCAGCGGTGGGTGATCTGAGATCATGGATGTAACCATTTAGCCCTTTGTCGGGCCCAGGGAAGCTCCTTGACTAACAGTAGCTGCTGGTGCTGCCCAGTCCTCCAGGCCTAGGCTGGGGCACACATATCTCTCTGTGCCACCACATGTGGACATGCAGAGAAGATAGATGACTGACTGCTCAAATCCTTCCCTTCGCACAAGCCACACTGAGCATCCTCAGGGCCTGCCCTCAGACCAGACAGACCACACCCACTGACTCTCTGCCCCCACAAGCTCCTGCCAGGACCTCCAGCATTGTCCCTGCAGAGAGTATTGCCCACCAGCACTGCCCTGGGCCAGCATCTTTAAATGCCGGGGAGGCTGTTCTCCTCCTGGCAAGTGGGTCTCTCTGGCAGCGGGCTGGAGGAGAAACAGCTTTGGTTTTTGCACATCTTAGGGTCTTGGGTGGTTCTGGCCATTGTCTGTGGGAAATGCCATAGGTCTGGACTTGTCAGGTTGTGGGACAGATGGGGTGACATGTCAGGAATCCTCCAGCCGGGGAAAGAGTGTGGGCTGCCACTCCCTCTCAATCCCCCCAGCCTCCTGTTCCCTGCTCTCCTTTCCAGCCATCTTATTTGCCATCTCCGTATTTGGACCGGCTTTTGGGTACCTGCTGGGCTCTGTCATGCTACAGATCTTCGTGGACTACGGCAGAGTGGATATGGGTGAGTGTGTGTGATGATGCCCATCCCATCGCCAGTTTCACAAGCAGCCTCCTAGTTTCCCCTCCCCCGCCCCCAGCCAATCAGGGCAGAGAATGAAGCTTTACTCCAGAGGCCCGCTGCCTTGCTTGCTCCTGCTCCCTCAGGCAGCCAGAAGCAGATGGCATGTGCTTCCCTTCCCAGGGCCCATGCTGGACTCTAGGGAGAAGGTGGTGCACTGCTGAAAAAAAACACACTTTCTACTCTCAAGAAGTTTGCAACTCTGATTAACTGCAGGGAGCCCTAGGGAAGGGCCTCAGGTGTTGCCACCACAGCCGCCCATCTTGGTGCTGGTTTTTTTTCCTCACCTGAGGATATTTTTCCATTTATCTTTAGATAGAGTGGGAGGAAGAGAGAGAGAAACATTGATATGAGAGAGACACATCAGTTGGTTGCCTCCTGCATGATCCTGACCAGGACCGGGGACCAAACCACAAGTGAGGTATGTGCCTTTGGCCAGAATCAAACCCATGACTCCATGGTCCATGGGCTGACACTCTAACCACTGAGCCAAGCTGGCCAGGGCTTGGTGGTGGTTTTAAAAATCATGCCCACCAGCCAGAAGATGCGGCTGGAAGACAGGTGTGAGCCAGACCCTCAAGAAGAACACCCTACCTGTGCCCGGCACGCAGATCAGAGCCTGCCCGTCTCGCAGAGGATATGGGTAGGCATTAAACCCAGCTATGCTGCCAGAACCCACAGACTCCTGTCTCCGTGACCATCAGACCACGATGTCTTCAGCATGATGTCCTCTGCCTGTACTTCAAACCAAAGGGGAAAGGTCAGGGGAGCTTCCTGCTTCTGGGTGAAGCCACCTTTGCCCTTTCACTGGCACTTCCTGCATTGGTTCCTGGAGAGGGACCCAAAGACTATCACCTGAGCTCCTGGTCCACCAGGGGCAGGGCCCAGGGATGCCTGTCGTCGTTTGGCTGAGGTCCATTCTGCTCCTTCTCCTTCTCTCCAGGCCTAGGTAGTTTCCTTATGGCAGACTCTTAGTCGTGGATGGGAGACGTGCCAGGAGACTTGCATCTCCTTTGGAGGCCAAGAAGCCCACTTAGTGGATGGTTGTTTCCTCTGGCTCCTAAGGATTACAAGCCTCCTTTCTCAGGGGGCAATACAGTAGGGCAGCAGTAGCATTCAGCGGTTAAGAGCTTAGGTTTGGACACCAGGAAGACATAGGGTTGAAATTCATCAATAACCTTAATCTTGGACAAGAGCAATGTTAACCTTTCTGAATCTCAGTTTCCTGATTGGTTGGAAGTGGGTGGACATAGCTCCTCCCTCATTGACTTGCTGGGAGAACCCAACAGGATAAGAGATGTAAATACATCATCTAGTGTCCGGCCTGTGGTAAGCCTAGAGAGTTACTGCCAATGATTAGGAATAAAATATGATGAGGCTAAGCTTCTGATCCCTTCAGCCTGGGGATTCTCTGCTGCTCTGCTTCATGTGCGGTGGCCTTCGTTTTCTGGGAAAACCAGAATGGCTAGGATAGGGAATGTCATCTTGGCCAAGGTTCTAGTTCATGGCTTTACCTCTTCTCCATCATGGGGAGAAAATACCGCTGGTCAGAGGGTCTCTTCCCAGTAAGGTGAGATCATACATTCATCCAACAAACACTTGTGTTCTTTACTTTCTCTTCAGCCTTAGTTAACTTGAGCCCTGAAGACCCCCGATGGATTGGAGCCTGGTGGCTGGGCCTGCTCATTTCCTCGGCCATCTTGGTTTTCACCTCCCTCCCCTTTTTCTTCTTTCCTCGCGCAATGCCCAGAGGAGGAGAGGTAAGGTTCTGGGAGCCCATAACTCTAGAACTAGGTGGAGTTTTTTGTTTTTGTTTTGTGTTTTTTTTATTAATTAATTTATTTTTCTTACAGATATTTCTCCTTTTACCCCACTGACACCCTTCTCCCGTTCCTGCCCCCCCCCCCCAGCATTGTTGTCTATGGCCATTGGTTATGCATACATGCATCTAAGTTCTTTGGTTTATCTCTTCCCTCCCTTCCGCCCCCCTCCTCTGAGGTTTGTCAGTCTGAAATCTACTTCTATGTCAATGGGTCTGTTTTGTTCATCAGCTTATTTTGTTCATTATATTCCACAGATAACTGAGATCATGTATTTGTTTTTCTCTGATTGGCTTATTTTGTTTAGCATAATACTCTCCAGGTCCCTCCATGTCATCTCAAAGGATAAGAGATCTTTCTTTCTTACAGTTGCATAGTGTTCCACTGTGTAAATGTACCACAGCTTTTTTATCTACTCACCTATTGATGGACACTTGGGCTGTTTCCAGGTCTTAGCAATTGTAAATAGTGCTATGAACATAGGGATACACATATTCTTTCTGATTAGTGTTTCAGGCCTCTTAGGATCTATTCCTAGAAGTGGGATGAGAACCCGTAACTCTACCTACAGGAGTTTAGGAAAGGAAGGTGAGGGTAGAAAACAAACAGAGCCGAGACGCTGCAGCAAGTTAAGCAAATTCTGAGTGAAATCTAAATAAGTCTCATGACACAGGACTTATCAGAGGAGAGCGTGCTGGTGAACTTCCAAAAGATGTTATCTCTTCAGTGTGCCCTTCCCAGGGGTAGCATCCAGGGATATAGTTCGGAAAACACTAAGCTCATCTAAATTGGGATAAAGAGTGAAGATCCAATAAAAGCTGAATATGTGACCTGGCACAGTTGACTTTTGCACTTCATCAGGCCCATCATATCTGAGCCTGAAGGGCTGAGTAAGAGGGGGGTCCTAGTGCTAAAGAGTGTGAGGGTGGCTGAGAGTGGAGCGTAGTTTGAGCAGATCTCATACATCTTTCAGTCATGTCTGTTGGGGGAAAAAATTAGGGAAGGATGAGGATGGAAAACAGGGATGAGGAGTCTAGGTGGGGACTTTGATGGTAGGCTAATGGGTCTAAAGCCTGTTCTGATCCCATGAAGTTCTAGGGTGCTGCAGTGATAGGGTTACCAGTCAGGTGGCAACATGGCAGCTAGGTTGAGTTTGGGAGTCAGGAAGGAAGGAAGACTGGTAATCTAAAGAGGCCAGTGTGGAGATAAGGGATCACAGCTGAGGCCAAGGGAAGGATAGATGTTTTTGGAAGTGGTGCTGAGGACTCAGCAGTGACCTGCATTGGAGAAGAGGAGCTACCATTAGCACCAAGGTTGTGAGCCAGACACAGAGCTCAACCTTAAGCAATGAGGTATATGAGATCTTGGCCCAGTCTTGGGAGGAGGGGCAGGTGTAGGAGGCTCTGGGTTTGTCTTGGGGAAAAATTTCAGAGGTTGGCATCACACTATGGTGGTTGTGGGGTCAAGCAAACCTAGAGTTTGAATCCAACTCTACTACTTATAAACTAAATGAGTGATCTTGGACAAGTTTTCTTGTTCCTAAGTTTCTTCTCCTTTAACAAACTGGGGATAGAGTAGGCATCTCAGAAGGAGGCTCCGAGGAGTGAGACAATGCATGTGGAACGCTAGGCACAGTGCCCAACATGGTGTAAGCACTCAATGAATGGCAACTCCTGTACCTGGTGATGAGCCCCCTAGAGGATCCTAAGTGTCAGAGCACAGCGACTTGCATCTGTGTGGTGGTTTAGAGCTACATCTTATGAGTTCAGTAGAGGCAGGCGAGGTCACGGAGGGGGTAAGCACAGAAAGTCCAGGCACAGGGCCAGGACAGAGACTTGAGCAGGACTCAACTTTGGGCCCAAAAGGAAAAAGGGACACCATAGAGGAGATAGAAAAAGAGAGCTGGAAACAGAAGTCATTCTAGACTACAGTGTCTTGGAAGCCCATGACCCCTGGAATTTAAGGACAGGGAAGAAGCATAGCCATGACAGACAGGCAAGGGGTGAGATTCGGTCGGACGCTTTCTGGCATCAGTTGTGGGAGGGTTAGATATGAAATAACATGCCCAGAGGTCTCTTGAGAGGCATTGGCATGGCTGCATCTGGTCAGCAGCCAAGGCACTTGGCTCATTGACATACAGGTGTCGTTTCATTTAAGACAACATTCTCTGGATACCCGCCCATCACACCTGGGGCTGCCCACCCTTGAGCCACTGAGATCAGATGGGTCAAGGGCCCAGAAACATGGCTGCAGGGAGGCTGGACCATTAACATCCATCTCCTTTGCTGCCTTCAGAGGTCTGCCATAGCGGACGAGGAGAGGAAGATGAAGGTCAAACCAAGAAGCTCCCTGGTGGATTTCATTAAACGTAACTGACTGACTGGCAATGCCCTGGGTGGGCTGGCTCGGGTGGGGGCATCAGGGAGTACCCAAGCCCGTGTGGCATTTTGTGTGGTAAGAGGCATTAAGAGCAGGTGGTCTATAATTGGCCCCGTTCACTAGAGGGGTTCCACCAGGCGACACAGATTCCAGCAGAGCCAGCCCCACCCCATGTTCTCCTTGCCCTTCACATGGAGGTGGCTGTCATGTGAGGCAAATGTCTCCACTGTTAGTCTTATTTCTATCCACCTGCCGCCTGATTTCTCATTTTGTTTAACCCATGAGCATCTTAGTGGGGGTCTGAGGGGCTCTGTGGCCCTGCACAGGCCACTGAGCTCGGTGCCTCGCTCAGCCCCGCAGAAGAGAGGAGCGCTGTCTGGAGGGAGGAGGGAGGGCAGTGGCCGGTCCCGCAGTGCCTCAGGTCACTGCAGCCCACGAAGACCTGGCCCCTGATGGTGGTCTGTTTGCAGGGTTTCCCCGCATCTTCCTGAAGCTCCTAATGAACCCGCTCTTCATGCTGGTGGTGCTGGCTCAGTGCACCTTCTCCTCCGTCATCGCCGGCCTCTCCACATTCCTCAACAAGTTCCTGGAGAAGCAATATGGGGCCTCCATGGCCTATGCCAACTTCCTCATCGGTGAGTCCTGGCCAGGCCCGACACAGACAGGAGCCAGAGGAGGACTTGCCCAGGAGAGAGAATTTTAAGGACAATTTTCTTGGTTGGCAATCTAGAGGGCTCTTAACTGATTTCTGGGACCCCTATCATTCCAGACAGGAGAGGGCGGAGGCTGGAGGCTGCCTTCCTCCCCGTCACAGGGGCTGGTAGCCTAACAGCCTCCTAGAGGCCCTGACATCATCAGGGGCAGCAGAGGAGAAGAGCGTCTGTTTGGGGCCAGGTGAAATGCTCCTGGTTTTGTTCCTTCTTCTCAAGGACTTGAATACATTTGCTTGAGTGGGGAGTCTGTGACCCAGGGATTCACAGCTCTGGCTGCACTTTGACTCCCCAGGAGAGCTTTAAATAATGATGCCCAGGCCCCCCTCCGTCAGTAAAAGCAGAGTCTCTGGGTGGGGCTCAGCACTGGGGTTGTTTTTGCCGCTGAGGTTGAGAAGCACTGACATGGTCCTACCAAGTATCCAAGCGAATTACTGAGCCCAATCCACAGGTGAGCTTGACCACATAGATGGCACATGGTGGTCAGGCTGTGAACCCCGACCTCCTGTGTGGCCCTGGGCTGTGACCTTACTTCTCTAGCCTTGGGCCTCTGACTAGCAGGCAGGGGGCACCACCAGAGCATTGCTAACCCCATGTGGTCACAGTGAGGATGCGACAGAGGTCAGGGAATGAAAGGTGCTAAATAAATGCACATTCAACCCACATCCCTCTGGCAGCAAGGGCCCCACCTCTTTCTGGATTCTTGGCACAGGCAGGGGAATCCTCTGGGTCAAGATGACTGTCGTTGTGCCCGGCAAACAGTAAATGCTCAATTAATGTCAGACATTAGTATCATCATGGAGCATATCAAATGTCCCTTCAGGAAGCTGTGCCTCTTTGTGGCTTGGTGTCTCCCCCTCCCCCTCGGGCCTGTGCACATAGACCAGCGTCTCTCTCTCCAGGTGCTGTGAACCTCCCCGCCGCAGCCTTGGGGATGCTGTTTGGAGGACTCCTCATGAAGCGTTTTGTTTTCTCTCTGCAAACCATTCCCCGCGTGGCCGCCACCATCATGACCATATCCATTATCCTATGTGCTCCTCTCTTCTTCATGGGATGCTCCACCCCGGTCGTGGCGGAGGTCTACCCTCCTAGGTAATGGAAATGAGGGAGGAGAAGATACCCTTTCCAAAGACCAGAGCCTGGATCTGGCTGCCAGGTCTCTTCCCTTCTGCTTCCTCAACTCTCTTGTCTCCTTTTCATTTTTTGATCTAATCGCTTATGGTGTATATTTAGAAAATCAGGTCTTGAATAAAATGCTGAATTACAAGAAATCAGAGGGTCCTAATGGGCCACCAGCAATCAGGGTTAAGGTTCAGTTTTTTTAAGAAGCACCAAAAACCAGTTTGTTGGGTTTCAGGATGAATCTGTATGGCTGTGAGCCTCCAGTACCAGGAATTTAGCTATGTTTAGCATCAGCTCCGTGCCAGCTAGAACTCGAGTCTCATTGAGCTGCTGAAGAGAGATGAGAGAAGGAGACTTGAAAAGATCTGGAAAAGGACAATGAAAGTGATGGCAGACTTTTGAAATTAGAGCAGGTGAAGAAGGGAGCAGGTGAAGTATACCTGTCAGTTTGCGTAACGCACCGTGGTCCTAAGTTCTAAGTCTGGCTTCATATTCAGGAAGAGGTTTAAAGGCTTGTGAAGGGAGGGTGCCCAGCAAGGAGCATTTAATGTTTTTCTGGGTGATACCTTTCAACCACCTCTTTTCAATTTTTCCTAATGACGTTCTAACTTTTGGAGGTGCCGGACCTTTCAGCCCTGGTGTTTTCTCTGTCTTTCTCTTTGAAATAACCTCTTCTGTCTTTGGTGGGGAGAGGAGGGAAGAAGTATGCAGGAAGGGCGGGTTGCTCGGGACGGGAACCCCCGGTCTGTATTGGTCTTCTGCAGGTGAGCAGGCGGGGGCCTCTCGGTGGCTGTCCTCAGCTCTGGCACTGCCCCTCCAATTGGGGAAAGTTACTTATCTGATCTTCAAATCTTCAGTGCTCTTCACCATAAAAGGAGCATAATAATTATAGAGTTATTGTGATGACATGCATGGAAGCCCCTGGGCACAGTGCCTGGCACATGAGAGGCCCCGATAATGTTAACATCATGAGTGTAATTATTTTAGCAAAGTTCTGGACGGTGGTTTGTCAGCCCTATTCCAACCCTCCCCAGAGAAGATCATGAATGTCAGATAGGGGGAATGGTGGGAATGGGGAGATCAGTCAGTGAACTCTCCTTGTTTGAAACACGGGGGGATGGAGGAGCCTGGGCAATGTCTACACAGACTAGAGACAGGAACTCTCTAGATCCCGGTTGCTCCAAGGGGCCCAGCCTGTCCCTCAGCCTGAGCCCAGGTGGAGGAGAAGGGAAGGGAGATGTTGCCTGTGACTTGTGTAGCATTTGCTTCTCTCGCCAGAGTCCTGGTTGGTTGGTTGTCTTGAGCACTTCTGCAGTGGGGGTTTGGCAGCCAGGCCTTTCTGACTAGCACTTGGTGGGTTCGGCCTTCTGGCAGCAGAAGAAACGGAGAGGTGTCGTGAACACTGACCAGCAGCCACCTCACCATCGGCCCCAATAGGCATAATTCAGATCCCAGGGTGGCGCTGGCCCCAGACACACACAGGTGCCAGGCACACCAGCCAGGCGGGAGCTCACACAGGGCTGGAGTGGAGAGATCTTTCCTTGGCCTTGCTTTGTTTGAGACCCTGTTTCCTGTTCTTCTGGCAGCACATCAAGTTCTATACATCCGCAGCCTCCCCCCTGCCCCAGGGACTGCTCGTGCCCGGATACCATCTTCCATCCGGTCTGTGGAGACAATGGGGTCGAGTACCTGTCCCCGTGCCATGCAGGCTGCACTCACGTCAATGTCAGCTCCGCAGCCTCCAAGCAACGGGTAAGGACAAGAGGCGCCCACAAGGTCCCCATGCTCAGAGTGTGCCCTCAAAGACTGCTTCCAGGCGCCAGGAGGTCAGGGCGCCACCCGCACCATCCTCATTTCCCCCATCCTGACCTCGGGGCCACACCCACCTTCTCTCTACCTCCCCTTCCCTGAGGTCATGACCAGATGTCTAGCCCAAAGTCAACTAAAGATTGCTCAACAGATGCACATTCCTGAGGCTGGGCGCAGAAACCAGCCAGAGCACTCCTTCCGCGGAAGCCTTCCAGTCTCATCCTGACATGGGCATGTTTGGGTCCTGCATCCTGGCCGGGTTGGAAAGCCACATGGACAGGCCCAGATAAATCAAGGGCGGAGGGTCCTCTGGGATGTGGACCTGGAAGGTTAGAGCTGGAAGTGGTGATCAAGGGCCTTAGGTCCACTCTCTCAGCTCCCGGGTATGGCCACAAAACTGGCCTGAAATCATGCAGTTATTTAGGGGCAGATCTGAGTCTCGAACCTGGGACCCTGCCTCAGTCTGGGCCACATCTATTCAAGGTCATGTATCTCCTGGCCACCAGCTTTCCACATGAGCAGCCCACGTTCACCAGTTCACTTAGTGAGGTCCTGTCAGCCCTCTGAGTGCTGGGGCTCCTGGCCTTCCAGGATCAGCCAGCAGCAGACGAACTCGAGTCATTTGTTCATCAAGAGAGGTAACGGACAGAGTGTGCCTGGGGCCCTCCCTGCGGAGGTGATATTAGAACTGACCCACCAGAAGAAAACCCTGTGAAGACCTGGGGATGAAACATTCGCATTAAAGGAACAGCAAGCGCAAAGCCCCAGGGCATGAATACGCTGGGTGCAGAGAGAAGAGAGAAAGCCAGGGTTGGTGCTGGGCCAGGGAGCGGGCAGGGGCCGGAGCGGGCAGGGGCCAGAGCTGGGCAGGCCAAGTCTAGGAGTTGGGTGTTCTTTTTCCTACGAGCACAGGGAAGTCTGTGCAGTTCCTGAGGAGGGGAACGCACCTTATTCCCTGAAGCCTGTATGGAGGTCATGGGCACGGTTGGCCCCCCCTTCCCATCCTCCCTCAGAGGACGAGGGGACACTGCGCCCACGCCACCTTTGCAGACAGAGGAGCGTGAGTCTCAGGCAAGGAACGTGAACACGATGTTCTCGGCTGCAGGAGTCTGTGGTGGCCTCTGCGGTTTCCTTATCTTCGTTTACTTACCTCTAACTCATCTACTTCCAGAAATAACCTTGACACGTTGCCAACAACAGCACAGATCATCATCCATTAGCAAAATATCAAGGAAAAAAATAGTAAATTATAAGAAAAACAATCTGTGGAAGCCGCAGCCATATTGTATATGTTATTTCTGAGCTTCCTAGCAGCTGAGATAAAGAAGGTGCAACCTTCTTGCTGTCTGGTAAAAGAAAGCATACTAGCTCATTAGTCCCAATCCTGGCTTTGTAACTGTTTTGACATTTAAATGGTCGTAGGTTAGGCCACCAGACACTGAGGGAGAAGTAAAGACCACCTGTGCAGTGGCTGAGTTGTATAACAGTGCTGAGCCAGATGGACTTGCAGACTTGAGTCGAGGACCTCCTTTCCCAGAGGCCTTTGCAGACCAGAGGAGTTCCCCTTTGGCAAAGTCCTGACAGATGAAGAACTTGGTGGATTCCAGTGTGTTTTCTCTGTTGTATTCTGCTATTTATTCCTTCCTTACCCTCCCTGTAATAAACACACAATCAAATACAACAACCCACAAGACCACAGCTGCTGGGCATGGGGTGGCCTGACCCAGACAAGTCCTCCCAGCCCCTGGTCCCAAGCTGGGTGGGCCTTGCCTGGCCGTGGAATCCTGCATGTACTGATGTGGGTGCAACAGCTGGAGGAGCGCAGCCCATGCTGGACAACTGGTTTGGGTGAAGATGGTTTATGTTGCCCAGACAGTGGTCAAAGGTGGAATCCATGGAGCACCTTGAAACTGTCAGTTGACCTCTCCAGCCTCTGAATCTAGCTTCCAGCTCCCCAGGGTACCCAGAGGGCAGAGGGGTGGATACCCGAGGAACTGTCTGGCAAGAGCTGGTGCAGGTGTTTGATGTGGGTACAGGCAACGTAACGACAACACATTTCCTCCTTTTCCTCTCCCGGCTTTTCAAGATTTATTTGAACTGCAGTTGTGTGACTGGGGTATCTGCTTCAGCAAAGACAGGATCGTGCCCCAGCCCCTGTGCCCACCTCCTGCTCCCATCCATCTTCCTCATCTCCTTCGTGTCTCTCATCGCCTGCATCTCCCACAACCCCCTCTACATGATGGTTCTGCGGTGAGTGCACCCCTCCTTCCCCGCGTTGGCCTTTGCTTTGTGCCCAGCTACCCACTTGGCGTCTCTCCTGCCTTTCCTGGTCCTCAGAGTCCTTTGAACACAATGTACAGTGTCCTTTGGGTGAAATGGGGAGATGACACTAATGCAGCAGTGCTGGGTCCCCACCCGTGCGGAGCTCTGGGCAGAGCTCCTCGCTGCGTCGCCCCCTCTGCAGCCCTGTGAGCCCTCCATTCTGCACACCCAGGAGGGCAGAGCCAGGCACGCTGAGCCACGTGCTAAAGCCAGGCTGCCTGGCTCCACGCAGATCCTAAAAGAACTGAGAGGAGGGAGGAGAATTTAGTTGGATGCATGAAAAATTGGGGATGGAAAATCAAGAAAGTTCCAGAGACAGAAGGAGGGCTATGGGAAAGGGTAAAAATGAGAAAAGTCTAGTGTGCTGGGAGCCAGGACTAAGTTCTCAGGCCAGAAGGGGGGGGGGGGTGAGGTGTCCCATTTCAGTGGCACCTAAATGTCTCTGAGGTTTGACAGGGAATAACCCTTCCTTCACCTCACTTTCTGCAAAGGAGAAAACAACATTTCAACCAAGTTCCCCTAACCCACCCCTGCCTGCCTCCTTCCTGTCCTCACCTGCCTCACAAGCAGAGAGGGAAAAACCCAGGATTTGCATGCCAGGTTCCAGGGTCAAAGGCCCAGCTTGGCCATATACTGGTTGAATGTCCTGGGATGTTGCCAACCTCACTGAGTCTCAATTTCCTCATTTATGAAAGGAGGTTAATGATATTGACCTCAAAGGATTGGTGTCAGGATCGCATGGTAAATTGCTTTGTAAATACAAGGTGCTGTACATATTGGTTAATTATCACTATTAACTGAGTAATAATAATAATTATTATTAACAGCTAGCTAGGTACCAATGACCTATTTTCCCCAAAAGCCTAGGAGATAAGGGTGAAGCAGAAGCAGCCACTTGTCAGGGTCTGGGATTTTACCCTCTTGACAAGTTTCTGCTACTGTTTCAAGGATTCTGGCAGAAGACAGGAGGCTCCTGGGTCAAAGGTACAGGACTGTGCTACTCATAACACAACAAGCAGCATGGACCTCATGCTTCATCATCTATCCTTGACCCTCTCGTCTCAGGGGGGACACGGAGGTGCCCAGGTTCAGGGTCTATGTCACGGCTGAGGAGCACTGTCCTGGGAGAGCCACTGCTTCTACGGACCAGGCCTGCTCTTGGTCTAGGGGAAGATTTTACCGCATTCTTCAGGGTTGCTTGTTGCAACCACCACCCCGAGGAGTATCCAGGAAAAGAGCAGTCAGGACCCTGTGTTCTTAGCAAACTCCCCAAGAATGTATGGGGATGCTCAGAGCCCATGGGGGTGCCTTTCCCAACACCATCATCACCCTCTTCTCTACTGCTTCCCAGCCTGTAAGGCCCTTGAGGGGGGGTTCCCTTCTTGCACCCCAAATCAGATGAAGCATGGTAGACACTCTAACCTGAGGAAGATCCGTAGGTGGTCCCACGAGAGGAACAGGATGAGGACATTTCATGGGGTGGGCAGGCAATCCCTGTCAGATCACATCCCAGAGGACTTCTGTCAGGACCTAGGGATGGAGAAGTGATGGAGGAAGAGTGTCATTTCAACCACAGGTTAGACTTTTCCAGAAAACTCTCTGCCTTCCAATTCTGGTCAGGGGCTGGCGTGAAACTGGAGAAGAGGTCCCAGGACCCTCAGATGGGTTAAAGCTAAATCCCACTGGGAAAGTGGAAGGAATGGATGCTATTTAATATGAAGAAGGTGAGGCTTAAAGATGACTTTGTAGGCAACGCAAGTGTCAGTGCATCGGTCCTGGGCCCCAGCTAGGCGTGGAGATTCAGGCAGGGAGCACAGCTGCACTGAAAATGTGGAAGGAGACCGTGGCCAGAACGCCAGCATTAAGTCAGTCGAAGGGGGCAGAGACCAGAAAGGGCTCAAGATCTCCATCAGAAGCCAAATTGGGGTGCCCAAGTCCCATTTGGTTGAGAATCTAGGGGAGCCTTCCTAGGGATAAGGACCAAGGCATCTCTTGTGGGTCAGGCCACTGGAGGGATTTGTAGGTTCAAAGGGAGCAAACTTTAGATTGAAGTCTGAGGCCCTTTCTGCTATGGGGGGAGGGTCCCAGCAGATGCTTCTCCCCCTGCTGCACCCCACTGAACACTGCCCTCACCAGGCCACCCTGCACATGCGCTGGAAGAAGGTCCTTTTCCGTTTCCCTTGCTGTCCCCTCAGCTCCAAACACTTTTCCCCAACAAGCGCCTGCCAAGGACTGTGGTGCTCACAGCACAGAGAAGCCAGGTGCCTCTGTCTTCCCACCTTGTGTTTGGGGCGGGGAGCCAGGAGCCGGCCAGCAGGAGGCCCTACGGCGGTCACCCATCCCGGGTGCACTTGGAAGTTTTCCACACCCTCTGGGACAGCAGGGCCTGGCAATACCACCTCCAGATACCACCTCCTCTCTCTGACTCTCCTTCCTCAGTCACACCCTTTCCCCTGTTGCAGGAAGAAGGGTAGGAGCGGGACTGGCACATGATTTGCAGGGCCCAGTGCAACGTGAAAAGGCGAGGCTCCCAATTCCAAAAGTACTAAGAATCTCAAGACAACCAGAGCAGAGCATTAAACCAAGCAGGGCCCTTCTGAGGGTGGGTCCCTTCGAGGCTGCACAGGTCACACGCTCAGGAAGCTGTCCCTAGGTAAAGGACTCTGTTAGTGCCACATAGAAGCCGACAGCCCTCAGGCCCTAATTCCACTTTGCATCAGGGCCGCCTTTTTAAAAATTAGTTAATTAATTAACTAATTTTGATGCTAGTTTGTTATTTTGTTTTAGGGGTGTATTGATTTTAGAGAGAGAGAAACATCAATGTGTTGCCTCCCATATGTGCCCTGCTCAGGGATCAAACCTGCAATCTGAGCATGTGCCCTGACCGGAAATCAAACCCGTGACCCTTCAGTCCATGGGCCAATGCTCTAACTACTGAGCCCCACCTGCCAAGGCTGCCCATTACCTCTTTTTTTTTTTTAATCCTCACCCGAGGACATTTTTCCATTTTTTGCACAGATAGAGTGGGAGGGAGAGAGAGGAAGAGAGGGAGAGAGGGAAACATCGATGTGAAAGGGACACATCGAGTGGCTGCCACCCACACGACCAACCAGGGCCGGGGACAAACTGCAACCGAGGTACATGCCCCTAGCGGGAACCGAACCCAGGTCTCTCTGGACCGCAGTCGGATGCTCTAACCGCTGAGCCAAACCGGCCAGGGCTGCCCATTACCTCTTGAAAGGGGCTTAGGGCAGCCCTGAAAATCAGAGACCAACCATTAGCAAAGTTGAGTGAGCATCAGAATTTCCTGGAGGGCTTCTCGCAACACAGATCACTGGGCCCCGCCTCCAGGGTGACTGATTGTTAGGTCTGGAGTGGGGCCTGGGAATCTGCATTTATAACAAGTTCCCAGGGGGTGCTGATGCTGCTGGTCCAGTGACTGAGCTTTAGAACCACTGATACACACGACAGTGGTTCAACACATCCTGGCACTAGATGAACATGAGGCACTAATATGGAGACACTTGCAGTGACCTGTAAAGGAAGTAAAGGAAGTAAAGGAACTGGATGCAACTGGTGACTCCAGTCCGCCAGGCGGCTCGTCAGGCTGCGTGAGGGCCGCTTCTGACTGAGGCCGGCTGCCCCCGACGGAGGGAAGGCACAGCCCGAGTCCTCCCACTGCTCAGTCCTGTTTTCCTTTTCAGTGTGGTGAACCAGGAAGAGAAGTCTTTTGCCATTGGGGTACAGTTCTTGCTAATGCGTCTACTGGGTAAGTATCTGAGACACCCCCTTCCTGAGCAGTGGCCCCGGGACATCTGAGGGCAATGGGGTGCAGGGTGGGGATGGGAAAGTCCTCGCTCATCTTTGTTGTAAAGAGAGGCTGTGCATAATCAGTACAACCCCAAATGCCAAAACCCTGTACGGGCAGTTTCCTTGTTACTTGTGGTTAAAAAATATTACACTTACGGTATTAATTTCAAACTAAATTATGTAAGAAAAGTGAAAAGCAGACACACTGAGAATACCTAATAGAGAGTGGAAGGCAGGTATTTTTTCATCTCTCCCTGCGAACTCACCTTGCGTTTCTGTCCCAGCCAGAATGGCAGCTGAGCCCAGTCCTGGCTTCCCTCCCATTTTACAAAATTCACACCTCCTACCATTCAGCAAATGTTTCTGTGTGGATTTGCTGTGTGAGGACACCCTGTCTGCCCTCAGGCAGCCCAGAGCCCACGGGGAATGGAGCTGTGCACACGTGATCAGTAGTGCCCATGGTGGGGGGCTGCCTTCGGGAGCCGGGCACAGCAGCCCTCCCCGGTGCAGGAACACGTGTGGGTCTCACTGGCACATTGCAGGCTCATTCCCAGACTGCTTACGCTGAACCGTCCCTTCTCAACACATCCTGGCACTAGATGAACATGAGGCACTAATATGGAGACACTTGCAGTGACCTGTAAAGGAAGTAAAGGAACTGGATGCAACTGGAGATGTGTTTATTAGGACCCAGTGGGTGCGCACTGCAGTGGGGGGTATGGCAATTGCAATGAGAGACCCCAGTCACTGTCAAGGTGAACTTCCTGACCTCAGACACAAACTTCTGCAGAGCCCTCTGTGCACTGATATCCAGGAGCCAGAGCTGCACTTGGCCTGCAGCGTCTTCCATCATCATTCCGGGGTGTGTTGGTGATGAGACCTGGGCCTGCTGAGTGGGAGCCTTGGCGGGGCCCTCAGCAACTGAGGTTGGGTGAGGTGTTCAGAGGATGAAGGCACCAGCTTCAGTGCCTTTCATGGCTTTGGGCCACTTGCTCCTCTCGTCCCACTAGAGCCCCCCCAGGCCCTGTATTCAAGCACACAGGACGCAGGGCAGAGGGTCTACCCTGTCCCGGTGGCAGAGACACTGTGGTCATCACAGCTCCTTGTTTTCATGTATAACTCATTCATGACTTGCTCGGAAACCTCCACTGGGAAGGAAACCTTGATTTCACCCAGGCCAACCGGGAGGGGGATGGGCTCGAGCCCCACCCCGCCTCTGCCAGCCACCTGGACAGACCACGCTCCCACTGCCCTTGTTTTTCCATAAAAGCTCAGAAAACTCACTGCGGGACCACATCAGAGAACCCAGGCCTGGAGGGATTCCACTCATTACCCAAGAATGCAATTCCACGGCGGGGTTTTAAAAAAGGACTTTGTATTTGTAAACCCCAGCAAGTTTAAAATTACCCACCGGGACTTGGTTGGAAATTTTCTGGACTCCGTTTCTATTTAGGGAACATCATCGGAGGTCAGCTAGTCCTTGCGGCCAGTTTCAGCCTCGCGTTAACCTGCGTCGAGAGGCTGGTTCCGGAAGGTCCCCACTTGCGGGTGGGGCACGAGCAAGCCTGCTGCTTCTCATGGGGCCCCAATCGGAGTCGGAGGCTGTTCTCCCAGTGGTTCTGAGTGGGGTGGCCTGGCCGGGTGTGGATCCTGGACAGCCCCTCCCCAGTCCAGTGCCCCCCTGGAACTGTAGCTAGCAGTAGAGGGGCCAGTCCAGGACATTCACGGCAGTGAGGCACAGCCCCCGATGGGCCAGGTCTCACCTCCCAGCTTCAGGAAGTGCAGGGGGCCTGGGACAGAGACTCTGAGCAGCCAGGGTGTTGGGGTCCTTTTGGGGGTGTTCTCTGAGGTTGGTATAGTGGAAGAACATGGGATTCAAGTCTCTGTAAACTAGGGCTCAAAGTCCAGCCCTGACTCCTCTTACCTATGTGATGGTGAGCTTGCCAAGCCTACCTTTCTCCTCGTTAAAATGTGGGCACCCACCTACCTCCGGCTGCTGTGAGAACCTGGGGAGTCCGTGCCCTCAAGAGCCTCCTGCCACACAGTGGAGGAGGCTTATCTTCACCTGGGACCAGTCCCAAGTGTGGGAACTAAGTTGTCTATAAGCGGGACCAAGGTGACCTCTGTGACTTACTCTGCCCTGAAAGGATGACCCAGGTCCCTTTTCTAAGCTTGAGTGAGAGAGAATTCAGGCTTCACAGAAGTCTGTTCGGCTTCCCAAAGTCACTGTGATCCCCAGGGGCAGGGCGGAGCTGTTCGTGCATCTGCGACACGCCTAGGCATTGCCAGGGGTCTCTGCCAGGGGTCTCTGCCTGCAGCTCCATGTGACCTGAGCTTTCTGAACTCTCTTCCCGTTGATGCCAGCCTGGCTGCCAGCTCCAGCCCTCTATGGCCTCACCATTGACTACTCCTGTATCCGGTGGAACTCGCAGTGCTCGGGGCGGCAAGGGGCCTGTGCCTACTACAACAACGACACTCTCCGCGACAGGTGAGGGCCCAGCACGCCATGTGTCGAGGAGGCCGGGCCCCAGGCCTGAGCAAGGGCAGTCATCTGTTTTGGTGGCTATTGTGGGGGCTGGCAGGCTTCCAAGGGAGAAGACCAGAGGGTTGCTGCCATGCACAGGGTTAGGGGCCATCTGTGATGGGCCTCTCAGGGCTCACAGAGAGCCATTCCAAGTAATAAGACTCAGGGGCTGCTTTGAGGTGGTCCCCAGTCTGCGGTCCCCGTAGGCCCTTGGGAGGAAGAGCGGCAGAAAGAAGCGTGTCAAGGGAAAGGGATGGCTGGCGTCCAAGGGAGAGGCCTGCTGTGGGATAATGCCAAGCCAGCCTCCCACTGCTCACAGAGAGGTGGCCCCATCGTGGCTCCTCGGAGAGGTCAAGGGCAGGTGGGTATAACCTGCCTCAGTAGGAGGAGCCCAGCTACAGTGCCACTGAGCTCTGCACCCCTCTAGCCACCTCACCTGCTGCCATCATCACACAGACCAGAAACAGAAGGAGAGGGGGCTGGATGGGTCTGGGAACAGTGTCAAAGTGGCACAGAAGGCTGGGAGAGAGGTGGACCAAGAGGCAGCGAGCCCCCTCTTCTGGCCTGCTGGGAGGACAGGACCCTGGGGGGGGGGGGGGGGGGGCTGGGCTGCAGTGTTGCCTTTGTCCCTCTAGGGGGAGGCAGTGCAAGGATGAGGACCACTGGATTAGCTCAGTCTCCTGACCGGGAGGCTTGTACCCTTGTGGATCAAAGGAATGAGGAAAATGGTCCCCGCCTGGGTGGTGATGACACATTCCCTGGGCCACTGTGAGAATGCTGCTGCTCTTCCTGGCGGCCCTGGAACGTGGCCTACAGAGCCTCCACACCCCTCACCAGTCTTGTGTCCTCCTGCCCACAGGTACCTGGGACTGCAGGTGGGCTACAAGGTGCTGGGCACTCTGCTGCTCTTCTTCATCAGCTGGCGGGTGAAGAAGAACAAGGAGTACAACTTGCAGGAGAAGGCTGCAGGTCTCATCTGACCCTCCCCGTGGCCTGGCGCCTCCTGGCCCCCTAGGGTGGACCTGCCCTTCCACACCTGCCTGTATTTCCCATATTAATATGTCATTTCCTTTTTGTTTTTTAAATAAGAAAACAACCCCAGTCACCATGTGCCTTCCCTGCCTCCTCCAAAGGCCCCACTCAGGGTTCCTTAGGGCCACTGTGCTCTGGGGCTGGGTGGGCACGGAGCTGCAGGGCAGGGTCTTCACTTGCTCCTTGGGAGGGACCCCACATGCCCACGCTGTCCTCGCGCTCGGTCCTCCAGTGAGAATGCCCCCTGAGGCTGCCCCTGCCCCTGACCAGTCCTGTGCGGGGTGCTTCTCTCTCTAAGTGGAGAGAGACAGGGTATCTGTCCAGAGAGAAGGGAGTGAGCTAGGGGATGGGGAGCCTGGCTGCAGCCCCCGTTGTATCTGGGTTCAGCATCAGCACGGAACCCGAGAGTGGCTGGCTCCCTCTTCTCAGACCCCCGCTTCCTGCCCCAAGAGTCCATTCTGGAAGCAGCCATGCTGGGAAGTGCGGGCCAGCTGGTCCCCTCCAGTTATCCACTCAGGCACGAGAGCAGGGACCGAGACACCCCGAGGATGAGTCATCCAAATACTGTTCACATTAATTCTAGACCCTTCCGGTCAAGGGTCTGTGCATGTTTGTCTGTCTTTCTGGGAGTATACTTCAAACTAAGAAAGCCATGCCATGGTGAAGACCCGAGGAGGGCTGTGCCCAACCTCCTACCTCCACGATGTGGGCACAAGACTCCTCTCAGAGTGATGGGACCACGCCAAATGTCCCTGGGAGCAGATGAGGCGGCTTCTCACGGGCTTCCCTGTCTGGATTTCGATACCACAAAACAAAGAGAAGCAGCCGGGATGTCAGCACAGCGAGTGACAAAGCAGAGCGAAGGGCCAGCACTGCCAAGCCGGATGGTGAGCTGGGCCCCAGCAGCGCTGCAGAGGCTGACTCGCGGTTTCACACCAGCTCTGTGCTCCCCGAGTTCCCTCCGCCGCTGCGCGCTGCCTGCACGGTGGCGCCCTCTACGGGCCTTCGCTGGAGGCACGGCCGCTGTGTGGTAGAGGTTCAAGTTAGAAGCCCGAAACGGAGGCCTTTCCTCAACAAACATATTTATTGGACTTTGTGCAAGGCAGTGCTCCTACAGGGTTCTCCTCTGAGCTCCACTGAGGTCCCACCTGCCCTCTCTCCATCTACACAGGGGCCTCCTCCCACCGTGTGTTCGGTGGGCAGTGGGGAGAACGGGAAAGACACAGCAAAAACCCAGAGGTTGTCAACAGGATCCTGACGGACTGTCCATGTCTCCACCCAGACTGATCCTGCACCTGGCCCTTTGCCACACAGAGGCCTGGCTGCACTGTCCCTGAGAGCAGCTGGGCACTGGCCATGGCCACCTGTGGCTCTCTTGAGCGCCCTTGCTCTCAGGAGACTCCTCCAGAAACACATCAGAAGCCACCTTCAGAAAGGCCAAAAAATGTATGTAAATGGCCAAACTGCCACAAGCCTGAACTCTGGAAGCCACAGTTACAGCAGCCTTATTTCCAAACAACTCACTCGGGAAGGGAGGCCCCATGCAACCTTGGGGGCCAGTTTCAGCATTTAAAATGGTCCTACTTGGAAAATGATTCCCTGCAACTAACCCTGGTCTTCCTTGCTGCCATTTAACCAAATTCTGGAGGCACTGCCTTCAGCTAAGCTCATGAACAGTGAATGCCAGCCTTCAGATTCCAGAAGACCGGTTGCCCTCCCAAGCGTGTATTCTACTGTGATGTTGCTATTAATATATTATAATTTTGCTACTGATGTCAGTTGGTCATGAATTTATACTGTCATATATCTGTCACAGAGCAGGCAGAACCTGCACCTTCTGGCCAGAGGCGGTGCCCCTGCCACAACCCTCAAAGGCCCATGGTCATGGGGATCAGAAATACGGCAGCTCTCAGCCCATCAGCCTGGTACAGAGTAGGCAGCAGGTGCTTGTTCCTTCAGTGAGGTTCTGAAGGTAGCTGTCAAGGCCCCTAGTGCTGGGCTCTCAGGAGGCCTGATCCTGGCCCTTGAGTTAATATCCAGAAGTGAGGTTTGTCACAAACAGCTAAGTCCATAACACCAAACAGAGTTCATATCATAATCGTTATTGATCTGTTGGCTGCAGCCAGGACTACCACTCCCATGGCCGATCTTCCCTCCCAGCTGCCAGCAGGGGTTACAATGGTGTCACCTTCGTTTCACATCCTAGCAGAGCTCAACACACTTCCTCGAGTGTTAGACTGTCATAGCGGATGTTGTTGAGATGCGGATTTCCAACTCCCTCCTCCCATCCTCGGAGTCTATTTACTGGGGTCTGAGGGGGACCCAGAAGTGGCACATTTATTTATTTATTTATATTCTGAGCCTCACAGTTTTATTTTCTCCTCATGATCCACCCTCCCTTTCAGCACCAGTAAAGGAGAAAAACATCTCTCTTTTCAAAATATTTTATCAGGTGAAAGATTGTTTTTATTTTTATTTATTATTTTATTTTTTTATCCTCACCCGAGGACATTTTTCCATTTTTTGTACAGACAGAGTGGGAGGGAGAGAGAGAAAGAGAGAGAGAGGGAAACATCGATGTGAAAGGGACATATCGAGTGGCTGCCACCCGCACGACCAACCAGGGCCAGGGACAAACTGCAACCAAGGTACATGCCCTTAGCGGGAACTGAACCCGGGTCTCTCCGGACCGCAGGCGGACGCTCTAACCACTGAGCCAAACCGGCCAGGGCTGAAAGATTGTTTTTAGAAGTGGCACTTTTAGCTAGACCCTCATGTGAGGCCGATGTGGGTGGTGGTAAAAACCTTGTGTGGTGGGTCCATAGAGCAGCACAGCCTTGGCGGTGCCCACCTGTACTTGGGCCACTAAGAAATTTACAGATTTGCTAGGTCTTTGGTGAGCTCACATGTGAGTGAAGGATGACAAGGTGGAGGGGTGCCAACAATCTGCTTTTCCTGGGTGGCTACAATCAGGAGCGAGTGGGCATGTAAACAGTCCAAGAGCTCACATGTATATTAGGCTCTTACTACTACTGAGAGTGAGAGTTCCCATTCCCAAGCTTGATAGTACTAACCGTGTCACAGTTATTTCTTTAAATCACTTATGTCTGACTTCAAGCCCTCATCCTACTGGCTAGCTGGAAAGTCAATGTCAATCATCCTTGGGGCTGGCTTCTGGAGCCATCTGTGAGCTGGTGGGTCCTGCCACTGTCGGTCTTGGGTTCTTTCCTAGTCTGAGGCCCCCTCCCCAGCTTCCCTGGGCTTGAAGACCCTGCAGAGGCCAGATCCCAGGCTAGAACCACCTTCCTGTGCACATGCCACCAACGCCGTCCTTCCCGGCCAGTCCTAGGAAGGCCACCCTGCTCCTCCACTCCTCTCCCAGTCCCTCGGGGCTGAATGAAAAGGCCAGGAAAGGAAGGGTCTCCAGGAACCATTTTATCCTCTCCTTCCTCAAACATTCTTGGCATAAGAAAGGGAAAATGCAGTGAGAATCAAAGGTCAAATCTCCATAAATGATTCTCTGTCTCGGAGCCCCCTAGGGTGATCCTCACCGTAAAGCCCCATTTGAAGAAGACTCTGAAATAAAGGATGTAACCACTGTGGCCAACTTCGTGCAAGTAATAACTGGTCAGACCTGAACTCAAACCAGACTGTCCAACCCTCTCTGGTCCAGCCCCAGCATCAGCTCTATCTCCCCAAATGAGTCATTCTGAACTTCTGGGGAGGCCCCTCTGTTCCCATTGAAGTTCACCGGCTCATGGGAATGAGGGGGAGAATCTGCTGAGGGCCATGTAAGATGGGTAATGGAGGTGGGGGCAAGCAGGTAATATTTCATTTACCCACCTTCTTACTTCTTCAAGTAGCCAGATCATTACAACTATTCACTAACCAGGGCCACTTTACCCTCCAGCACCACGAGTTAAAGGGGAGTCGCAGAGAAAAGGGACAAAGAGGAAAAGGTTGTCAGGAGAAAAGGCCCTGAGAGATCTGCACGTAGACAGACCTTCCAGGGAGCACCCCACCTGGCAACGGGTTACCAGATTCTTGCTTAGGAAACTAGGCCATGTGGTATTATTCCAAATAGTCTCAAAGATGGAGAGATTCAGTTAAGCTGGGGCTGAATCCAGTCAGTTTCAAACTGATATTACGATATTATATTACAGATTCCCAAAGAGATTGGCAGTGTGCACATGTGTGCGAGAGAGAGAGAGAGAGAGAGAGAGAGAACTCCTATCTTTTACAGCCACAGGAACCGAATATCTGGGAGAAATGTCAATCTCCTACCAATAGCACCAGAGTCACTATAACCTTTCCTCAGAGTTTAAATATGTAAACAATATGTAAACAGATCCTGGGCAAGCCCTTGGCAAATCATAAGTGAGAACAAGTTTTTCTCTTAGGACACACCCTGCCCATTCAGCCACCCTTCATCTCCCTCCCATCCCCACTGCTGCAGCGTGGCCACCCGACACAGGGTCACCCTACTTTGCTGATGTCCTTGCCCCCCAGGCACCTGCTGCCCCTCGATAATAATAAAATGCACACAGATCTTTACAGTGCACAAAGCCATTCTTTTAGCAAACGCCTCTAAGATTAACTCAGTCAGATGGGTTTGGCCATGCTGTGGAAACAAACTTCTCTAATCTGTCACATGACACAACGGGAGTTCATATCTTGCTCACCTAAAGTCCACTGTGGCTCCAGGTGACCCTCCAGGGCAGGGGCCTCCAAATGGTGGCTCAGTAACTCAGACTGTTTGGATCCTGTGGTAAACATTTTAGCCCAGAAGTAACACGCTTCATCTCTGTTTCCAGCCCGTTGGCCAGAACTAGTTGCATGTCCCTTCATAACTGCCGTGGGGATGGGGAAGGATGATCCCCCTGTGAGCCCAGAGGAGACAAGCATCAGTATGGACGAGCACTAGAATCCTCTAGCACTGAGTTGAACCTGGGCAAACACAGGTGGACACTGAGGTCAGCTTTGTCAGGCTGTTGGAGAAGGTACAGTCAGGAAAGTCTCCCAAATGAGGCAGCATCAGTGGTGAGATGATTTCCAGACAAGGGCGAGTCCAG